AATCGAATCGAATCGAATCGGAGGAGTCGAAGTGAGCTCTGCATCGCCCATCCCTCTACCCGCCTCCCCTCCCTTCTCCTCTGCCCCGCCCTCCCCCAAGGCCCCCGCCCCGCCCCTCTCCATTCCGCCTCGAACTCCCCGCCCCCATCCTCCAGACCCATCTCGCCCCGAGCCCCCCATCCCCCTCGTACGCCCCTCTCCATTCCGCCCTCCCCGCCCATCTCCCCGCCCCTCTCCATTGCGCCCCCCCATCTCGTCCCGAGCCCCCCCCCTCCCCGCCCCTCTCCATTCCGCCTCGAACTCCCCGCCCCCATCCTCCAGACCCATCTAGTCCCGAGCCCCCCGTCCCCCCTCGTACGCCCCTCCTCATCCCCCGTCCCCTCGCCACCCCGCCCACGAGGGTGGGGGCGGAGGCGCTAGGACCTGGCCGGCCGTGGCAGGAGTGGAACCACAGCAGAGTGTACCTGTGTGCGGGCTCTGCTCGTTCCACTCCGCCCTCCCCCAAAGGAGTGGGAGGAAGAGAAGGAGGAGACGGAGGAGGAGGAGGAGGATCGCAACAGGCCCCGCCTCATGTTTGCCGAACGTCAAAAAGATGGATGATGATGATAATCATGGTGCTGATGAAGATGAAGATGAAGATGAAGATGAAGATGAAGACGAAGATGAAGATGATGATGATGATGATGATGATGATGATGATGAAGATGAAGATGATGATGATGATGATGCTGCTGCTGATGATGATGATGATGCTGATGATGATAAGGAAGAGGAGGAGGAGGAGGAGAAGGAGGAGGAGGAGGAGGGGGAGGAGGAGGGGGAGGGGGAGGAGGAGGAGGGGGAGGAGGAGAAGGAGGAGGTTGTTGTTGATGGCGGGACTGAAGCCAGACATCCAAGATCAGACAACATCGGACCCTGCCCTGGCGCGCCGCCGTCGCCTACGCCGCCTCCTCCTGGAGCCTCTCTGAGCCTCCGGCTCGAGTCTCCCGAGGGCGAGCCCGTAGCGGGCGGCGCTCTGCGAACCCCACGGCGACAGACACCCTGACAGTCCTGGCACTGACTTGAGCATGCGTCTTGATGTTTTGGAAATGTATCCACCATGTGTTATAATATGGGTTTACCACGTATGTCTTTACATGGTTTGGGGACGCAGCCCGTAAGCAGATGTTCGGGAAGTAGAAGAAACTGACTGACAGAACCGAGCTGAACCCCCAAAGCTGCTAGATGTTATATGGCAGTTTGTTTTTGTTCGGGGGTGGGGATATTTCGCTGGCAGTTTTAAGCCAGGGGGTTGGGGATATATCGCTGGCAGTTTCAAGCCAGGGGTGAGGATATTCCGCTGGCAATTTGAAGCGATGGGGCGTGAGGATATGTCGCTGTTAGTCTTACGCCACCGGTGGGAATATTTCGCTGGCAGCTTTAAGCGAGAATTGTGAGGATAGTTCGTCGCGTCAGGGGGTTGAGGATATCTCGCTGGCAGTGATAGGCCAGGGGGTGAGGATATTTTGCTGAAGGGTGTGATGATATTTCGCTGGCAGCTTCAAGTCAGAGGGGTTGAGGATATCTCGCTGGCCGTTTATGCCATGAAATGATGATATGTCGCTGGTAGTTTGAGGCCAGGGGGGAAGATGTGTCGCTGGCAGTTTCAAGCCAGTTCTGTGAGGATATCTAGCAGTCTAGCAGGCAGTTTGAAACAACGGCGGTGCTGATACTCTCCACACGCAACCAAGCAACACCATGTGCCACGCACGGTCGGTCACGAGTGATCGGCGGATTCGTTGGTCTGGGGTTCGGGGTGCATCATGCAGCCACACCGTTGGAATATGGATCACGTTCGACGTTGGGCTGAGACTAAATTGGTTGGTCTGGGGTCAGGGCGCATCATGCAGCGAGAGCGCTGGAATATGGATCACGTCCGACATTGGGCTGAGGATTCATTGGCTTTGCCTGCGCCTCTGCGTGCCCGCAGCCGAACGCGCGTTCAAGCTCGCTCTTCCACTCGGCAAAGCAGCGCGCTTACTGCCACATGTTGGGCACCATGCCTGCCCGCTTAACACACTTTGTCGCACTTGCGGAGAAAACCCTCACCAGTCCAAACAAGATCGCACGTATCGGACATGAAGGAGGGCATCTGGTACTAACGCACCGGGGCCTTCGGCTGATCAGCATCGCCCACTCGTTCCTGTACCTGCCGAAGAGTGTTACCCTTTGCGTGTATTGGAAAGGTGTTCTCGGGGAGGTGCGTGCTTGCGGGACGTTTTCAACGGGTGACCACTCAGGAGGAGTGGAGGAGTAGGAGGAGGAGGAGGAGGAGGAGGAGGAGGAGGAGGAGGAGGCGGATAAGGAGGAAGAGGAGGAGGAGGAGGAGGAGGAGGAGGAGGAGGCGGATAAGGAGGAGGGCGAGGAGGAGACAGGCGGGAGGGGAGGGAGGATACCGAGGTTCTGGGCAGGGGGGAGGGAAAGCGGCGGAGAAGGGTATTGGGAGGAGGATGAGGGGGAAGGCACAGGACGAGGAGGGGGAGGTGCAGGACGAGGATGGCGGAGGAGGCGGACGACGAGGAGGGAGTAGAAGAGGGAGGAGACGGCGGAAGGAGGAGTCGGAGAAATTGGACGACGGTGGGGGTATGGATGAAACGGAAGACGGAGGGTAAGGACGAGGAGGAGGAGGAGAAAAAGGAGGAGGCAGAACGGGGGAGTTGTGGGTAAGGCCTAAAAGGAGTCGTGGACGGTGCGGGCATCCACGCGCCACGCGATGCAGTAGTGGGTCTTCCCCTACCTGGCAAAGCCGAATGCATCGCATCCAGCGCGGTGCTGCGCCCCTGTACATGGTCGCCTCTTGGCATGGGGCTGGCGGGGGGCCAAGGGGCGAGCTGCCCGATGCTTAGACATGTTCGAGCATAGCTGGAAACCTGGGAATCACTTGGCAACATGCCTCCTCTTCACATGATCGTCTTCCGCAGGCTGTCAACCGCTGAGCGTCCCGGCGCCCCCTTCCCCCCCCAAAGAAAAGAAGAACAGAAACAAAAAAACAACCCCCGAGTCACCACAACAATCCCGCCGCCAGACCGCCCCCCCGACAACTAGAGGGAGAGAAAAGGACAACGGGGGATATAGTAGGGGCCCGACCACAAGAAACCTTCCACAAGAGACCCAACCCTGAGACCCCAGGACGTCACGCCTTCCATCGCAAAACCATCGAAACCCAAGAAGCCCAGGGCACCCTGGATGCAAGCAAGGTGTCTCTTGGCATGGGCCTCCACTGTATTCGGACAACGGGACGGGCCGACAAACAAAAGCGGGCCAGGCAAGGGACAGACACGGACAGCACAGCGAGGAGCCAAGGAAGGGGAAACGGAGGGGGAGAGGGAGGACGATCCCCTATCCCCTATCCCAGGTTTCGTGGGTTTTCTACCTGGACCGAAAATGTTGGGCCCCACCCTGGGGGGGGCGTCCATTCTCGATATGCGTGCGTCCGAATAGCCCCCTTGGGGTGGAAACATCGCCTGCGGAAAGTAGGCTCTTGCGAGGCGCGCAGCGGTCACAACATCGCCAGGCGATGCCTGGTGCCCAGGCTCGAGCCGCCACAGCCTTTACAATGGCGACCAGCTCGGGAACTGCCCGCGATCCGTCCTGTCTCGCTGACACTTTCTGTCCTGAGGGGGCGAGTCGTTGCAGGGGATGACCAAGGATTGCACTCCCCCCATTCCAGCTGTAGCCACTACAGGACCTGCAAAACTAACAAGCCGAGCCCCCAAAACCTATTCGCCGTCAGCCCGGAAAACGATTGCCTCCATGAGGCCGAGCTCACGGACTTCGAGCAGAGACTCCAGCTCCTCGTGGCCATCGCCTCTGAAGGCGAAAGGTCGGACACCGCTCCGCAGTCTCGGCAGGGCAGCGTTCTGCTGGGGATGCCTTCTGTGACCGCCGACCCCGAACTCTCCAGGCAGATCGTCGCAATCACGGATGCAGTTGTCGGCCATCCAGGCCTCCTGCTCTCCCGCCCATCTCGCCGCTTGTCGCGCCATCCCGTCCAGCACTTTACCTCTGGGTCTCTGGGTGGCACTTCGCCCGCACCTTAGCAAGTCCGTCGGCATGGTCGAATCCTTTCTTGAAGAAAGCCGTGGCCCTGCCAGTACCAACGCCCCCGCAAAGAGGCATGCGCTTTTGCCTTCACGCCCTGGGCACGGCTGTCACCGCACGCGTGAAGAAACAAACACCTGGCTCAAAGGTGGGCCCGACTGCAGGCGGAACTCTTCTAGGGGGCCACATGCGAACCCTACCCCTACCCCCCACGATTTCTGAGGGGGAGATGGGGTCCACTCCGCTCGGGAGCTCCCGCGCAAAATGAGCCCCATCCTCCCTCTCAGAAATCGTGGGGGGTAGGGGGAGGGTTCGCATGTGGCCCCCCTATCTTCGCAAACAATGGGAATCACATGCGGCTGAGGATTTCTTCGCAGCCGATCGGACGCGTGGAGAACATACCCTGGGTTTCTTAATAAGCGTGGGGGGGTACAGCCCCGACGGGGGTCAACCTCGCCTCGTCGTCGCGCCGCGACGGGGGTCGGAGCGCTTCGGTGCGCGGTGGCTGCCCGCGAAGGGGGTCGATGTGGGGCCATCGGCAGGGGTGACGCCCCCCCTACGCTTAAGAAACTCGGAGTACCCACACGGCCCCGCGAGGCTGCATGCAGCTCGCAGTCCCCGCCGCCCCTGGATGTCCACCGTAGGGGGCGGCCTCCACGGCGCGGCCCCGTGGCCCCAGCCACCACTCTTCGTCCTCCTCCTCCTCTTCGTCCTCCTCCTCCTCCTCTGGGTCCTCCACCGCTTTTCTCCCTTTAACTTGTGGTGGTGGTGGTGGTGGTGGTGGTGGAAGAAAACAGGCCCATCACAACCCGCTCTCGACAGCAGAGAGTTAGACGGGTCGAAGGCCGCCCCGTCAGCAAGACACTGGCGCGACAGAACTCCATCTGCAAGCTGGTTGATCCCAAGAAAACGCTGGCTTGGCTGAGACATGCTAGGAGATGTGTCGACCCCTAGTTATCCCAGGCATCTTGGGGATTTCGAATGGACCAGAACTATTTGGGGCCCAATCATGGGATGTACGTTGGCGGGCCTTCCATCGTCGATAGGGGTGCGTCCGAGTTAGCCCCATCGGGGTGCATCCCAGGGTTCCCCCCTCTTCCTGAGCGGCCAAACTTTTCGGGCGGAGCTCGGGGACTGGGGGAGAAAACTCGCCTGCGAAGACGGCGGGAGAGAAGGGCCAGCTCAGAGACGAAGGGGAACAACTCTACCAGCCGCCCTCTCAGTGTCTTGACTCGCCGCTGGCCGTCGTCGCTCCTCGTCGTCACCTGCCGTCGTGAGCGCTCGTCTTGAGAAATGACGGTGCCAATGCCGCTGTTCCCCGCACCTCTCCAGGGGTGCTTTCTGATCAGATGTTCGCGGGGAGCCCAACAGTGGCGGCGAGATCCTGCCAGGAGGGCGAAGAAGGGGAAGACGGGGCGGAGTGTAGCGGTATGGGTACCTCTTCCTCCTCGGATCGCCGTCGCCGGCCGTCGTTGTCGAACGTCGGCGGCCGCCGTCGAACTGACGAGGGGCAAAAACCTGCGGAGGCCCGCGCAGGGGCCGCGCGCCACGGGCGGCGCACGGAGGCGCTGCCACGGGGGGCCCCCGGCGCAGAAATCCAAGAGAATCGGGCGGACAGCCGGCAGCGCATGCTTCCGGCGCTGCCCCTCCGGTGCTCCCAGGGCTCCCTGGGAGCTCCCAGGGGTTCTCCAGGAGCTCCCAGAGCCCCCCCGGAGCTCCCGAGGGGCTCCCCGTGGAGGTGCTCCCCAGGAGCTTCCCGGGAGCTCCCACGATCTCCCCCGGGTGCTCCCAAGGCTGCAGGAGGCTCCCGAGGGCTCCCCGGGTGCTCCCCAGGGGCTCCCCAGGAGCTCCCAGGGGCTTCCCAGCCGCTCCCAGGGCCAGGAGGGTTCCCCAGCTGCTCCCAGGGCTCCTCGGGAGTTCCCAGGGGGTCCCTACTTAGGTCCAGGGGGCTGCTTCTTCTGTTGACGGTCGTCCGTCGTCGGCCGTTAACCCAATCGATCGCGCTCGGCCGTCGGCCGTCGTGAGCGATCGTCAGCGACGACCGTCCCTGAGATCCGACGGCGCGACTGATTTCGCCCCGAGCGATCCCCACCGGAACCTTCAGCTTTTGTTCCCAACGGTGCGCGCGCGCCTACTGGAATGATGTGCGCGGGGTCCAGCGGTCTCGGCCAGCGCGGCGGCAGGGACAGGTCGCAAATTGATGTTTTCCGATCGTCTAACAAGTATCGGGGCCCCTGACGAAAGAAACCCAAACAAGTCCCTGGAGCGATGAACCAGCCACCAAAACGCGTCGTGCGAGAACCACAAACCTGTTCGGAGAGAATCTGCAGGCTGTTGAGAAAGGAAGAGGAGCAGCAGCAGCAGCAGCACGAGGAGGAGGCAGAAGACGAAGGAGGAGGAAGAAGAGGAGGTGAGGCGAACCTCTTCTTCCTCCTCCTCCCGACGCCGCGACCTCGTCTAACGAAGGGGCGCATGTCGCATTTGAGGAGCCGCCGTGAAGTGGTGACTGGCCAATAGGTAATAGTGTGCTATAGTATGTTTGGTTCGATTCTGCCACAGTGTAATCTACGACATTATGTTAATATGTGCTATTTTGTGCACGGGCCAGACCGGACGCTCGGTATGTTTTCTAATCGGTCGTTGCTGCTACAGTTTTTTGTCTGTAGCCAGCCTGGGCTTGGCGCGCATGCTGCGTATTGTAAGCCGCCAGTGCTCAGTTTCTGCTGAACTCTACTTTACCATGTTGCGCTTGGTTCGGCTCCATTATATCTACATGTGTTTGTTCATGTTCTGTTCCCGACGGGGCGGCGTGGCGTCGTGACGCCTGTCACATTTGATATGTCGCCTAAACGGTCGTTTCCGCGCCTGCTTTTGTCGAGTGGCCAAGCGCGGATGCTGCGTTTGACAGTGCGCCCTTAATCTGTCGCTGCTGTATTGAACACTGATCAATTCTGCCCTGCTCGATAAAATGATGTGCTGCTAGCTACTGTATGGTATGTTATTGTCGATGGGACGGCGTGACGCCGTGACGCCTGTCACGATAGATACGTCGCCCAGTCGGTCGTTGCTGCGACTGTTTGTACCTGTGGCCAAGCTGACATCGGCGCGCACGTTGTGCCCGAGTATGTATTGTGTGATACAATAAGTTTTGGTATGATGAAAGGCTTTTGTCATATCATGAAATGGTGGTGTAATCCTTTGAAATGCTACGATATGGCCTGGTATCGTGTGATATGGTCTGCTTCGTTATGGTGCGTTATGTTATGGTGTGCTCGGTCATTTGTGTGTGATGGTGTGTGGTGTTATGTCTGGCTCTGCATCCTCAATGATGGTATTGCATGCGTTGTTGTGAAGGGTCCTTCTACGTCGGGTTATGGCATGATCTGAGCAATTATGCGTTGCTATGTTATGGCGTTATGGTATAACCTGGTGTGTTGTGATATGATACGGTATGCCGCACTCTGTCATGGTATGAGCTGTCATGGTATATAATACTGCGTAATGTGATGATGTGCTACGGTGTGATATGTTATGTCATGGTCTGCTGTGGTGTGGTGAGATCTCGGCCATGGCATGTGTTGTCCTGACATGCTAGCATATAGTATGAGGAATAACGTTACGCTCTGTTCTGCATGATCCTACATGTCATATATTCGGGTAGTATTGTACGATATGTTATGTTACGATGTATCACCTTATGCCGCGCTCTGTCACGCTATGGCTTATGATCGGTGCGACGATGCTACATGAAATGTTATGTGTGATGCACTGTCCGTTATGCTGTGGTGCGTTATGTAATGGTATTGTACGGTATGCTCTGCACTGCCAAGAGATGGTACGGTATGATATGGCCTGTATGTTATGTATGCTCTGGCATGTCATATCATGCGTTGGTATGCTGCGTTGTGCTATGCTATGATATGCTATACCATGTTGTGTGAGGCTGTGGCCTGTCATGGTCTGGTATGCTCAGTACTACGATGTGTTCTTATGGTATGCCTGCTTTGCCATGCTATGGAATGGTATGGGCTACGATGGTGTGCTATTGTATGCACTGTTATGTGATGGTGTGTAATGCTGCAATGTGTTATGCCATGCTGCGGCATGTAATGCTCGGAAATGTGATCGTGGGAGGTGTGGTGTAATTCTCTGTTCTGTCATAGCTTGTACGATTGTATTGTACTATGTTCTGCTAGTTTATGCTACCGCTCTGTCATGCTATGATTTGTCGGCGCGAGGCGGGTCAGGTCTCGGATCTGGCGGCTGCGGTATGCAGAGTGGCGCGAGGCGGGACAAACGGGGACCCTCGGGGGACCTGGGGATCTGGCGGTCGCGGCATGCAGGGTGGACGGGTCAAGAGACCTGCTCTTAAAATCTAACGACCCCAACCTGTCGGGTGGTTAAATTTGAATGAAAGCGCCGTGGACAATCACGACGGGAGCCCTGAGCACCCTCTTTCTGCTGCCAGCTCATGGACCAGATCGATGCGTGAGGGTCCCGGGGCCCGATGCCTAGCGAAGACGCCCAGCCTGAAAACATTGAGACGCCTCAGGATCTCGAGGGGTCGCCGTCGACCGTCGGCGGCCGTGGGCCGTCGCCGGCCGCTGCCCGTCGATGGTGGTGGGACGTCGGCCGGAGTGGGCCGCCCCGCCTGTGCTGGCCCTCCGCCTCGGCGGTCCAGCCCAGCCGCTCGAGCTCCCAGGTGTCCTGGGGCGCGCCCTGCCGCCAGCCCTCCTCGTCGGCACCGTGACGGTCGTCAGCATCCTCGTCGGCCCCTGCTCCGTCCCTCGCTCCCAGCCTGATGCCTCCCCCCTCCGCCTTCCCCTGCTCCCCCTCCCTCCCGCTCCTCCTCACCCTCCTGCTCTGCTGTATCCTTCGCCCTACCTCCACGCCCCTCCGCCGCAACCCTTCCCCTCCTGCTCCTCCTACTGAGGAAGAGGAGGAGAAGGAGGAGGAGGAAGAGGAGAAGGAGAAGGAAGAGGAGGAGAAGGCGGAGGAAGAGGAGGAGGAGGAGGAGGAGAGGGGTGGGAAGGGGATGGACCTCTCTCTTCCAGATTCCCCCGCTATTTCCTCATCCTCCCCCTCCTCTTCCTCCCCAACACCGTTCTGCGGCATTCCATGGGGGTGGCGGCTCCAGCAGCGCCAGAGTGCTCCCCCTCCTCCTCCCTGCTCCTGTTCCCTCCTCCTCACTCTGCATCTGGAGAAGGCGTGGCAAAGGTCTCCACCCGAAGAGGGACGAAGTCTCAGTCGAGACTTTTCTTTCTTTGCCCTATCTCGGTGGTGTCTTCGACCGTGGAAGTCCAGAAACGAATCGTCCTCCCTCTGCGGCCGCACGCGCCCCCCCGAGCACGCTGATCCGCAGCCGGCGCAACCCCGCGACCCTGGACACAGCCCACCGCGCAACGACGGCCGTTCCCGATAGAGGGGTATGCTGGGCTGGGGCCCATAGAGTGGGTGCGCAGGGGAAGATGCTCTGGGGAGGCAGACAAATACCTACACCGCCCTTCCGTGGACCTCTCCCAGGATGCGTTCTGACCAGGATCTCGGGGCGGATCCAGCCGCGGCGACGAGGAGAGCGTCGTGGCATCGGTGACTCCTCCTGCTTCTGATGATCGCAGCGCGCCCAGCCCAATGCAGGCCTCCAAGCCAGGCGCCTCCGCCTCCGCCCCCGCCGCCACCTCCTCTCGGGTGCGCCCTCGATTGGGGGGGCATCGAACACGAGGTGAAGAAGCGCACGATATCGCCTGAACCGTTTGGGCCCGCCTATGGCAAATCAGGGCGCCTTGAAACATATAAAGGCCTCCTAGACGGGGCCCGAGTAGATGGGGTCGGAGGATCGCGCCGCATCGCCGTCGGCGATACATCGCCGATGCATCGGTGACATTGGCGACGCCAGCGCTGAGAAGCACGGGCTCCACACCGAGCCGCATCGACGATGCATCGGCGATGCGGCGCAATCCTCCGACCCCATCTACTCGGACCCCATCTAGGAGGCCCAGAGCATACCCGGTAGCTAATACCGAAGAGTGCAGGATGCACACCCACGGAGGGTCTGCTGGCGACTCCTGGCTGCCAACCCAGAATCGAATCGATAAGTCGGATCGGCAATCGAAATAAATCGGATCCGAGCAAATCGGCCGCCGAGTCGCGAAAAGTCGAATCGGCGGAAGTTGGCAGGCTAATAGGCCTCCAATCAAGAATCGGAGTCCAAATCGGCATCCGAAATCGAATATTTGGACGCCCGAAATGGGTACGGAAAGAATAGGTACAATGCCCAACAACAAATGTTGTCCCAAACCAACAGCGGCCGCTGTTGGGCAGGCGGCCCTCTGTCTCGAATGGACACAGGCCGCGGCGGCGCGGACAGCGGATCCTGTTCAAAATGAACAGGAATTGCTGTTGGGCATTGTACCCATTCTTTCCGTACCCATGTCGGGCGTCCAAAGAGTCGAACCGACATCGGAATCCATCGACATCGAACCGCATCGAATCGGAGGAAGCGAGATGAGCTCTGCCAGCGCTGCGCAGCGACAGAGGGGGAGAGAGCATAAACGAGAAGCAAGCAGACGAGCGGCGCACGCGCAGACTGAAGACCACAGGGCCGGCGAGGCGAAGCAGGCGGGAATCGGCGGGCGGGGAGGGGCAGAGGGGACACAGCAGGCGCGACACGAGGGAGGAGAAGGCGAAGGAGAAGAGAAGGAGGAGGAGGAGGAGGAGGAGGAGGAGGAGGAGGAGGAGGAGGAGGAGGAGTAGGAGGAAGAGGAGGAGGAGAAGGTGAAGAAGAGGAGGAGGAGGAGGAGCAGGAGGAGGAGGAGGAGGAGGAGGAGGAGAGGAGGATGAGGAGGATGATGATGATGAGGAGGAGGAGGAGGAGGGACGGGAGACAAGAAGGAAGCAAAGGATGGGCAACCGCAGGGCCACTTTCCCGGCAATCCTCGATGCCTCCACGTTTAACTACTCGGACGCCTCCCAAACAGGGTCCAGTCAGATGGGGTCGGAGGATCCTGCCGCATCGACGATGGCGCAGTCGGCGTGGAGAAGATCGGGCTCCACAGCCGCACGCCCGGTGCATCGGCGATGTGGCGCGATCCTCCGAACCTATCTGGTAGGACCACATCTGGGAGGCCTGGAATATTGCCCTGTCCGCCCGACACTCACCCCAGACATGCCGGTTGTTTGGGGGGTCCCCCCAGAATTTCGAACTGTTGCTGCCTAAGGCTGGCTTCTCATCCTGAGTCGTTGTTTGATGGTCCAGGAGCTTGGCGAAGCCCCGTGGAGCCCCAATGCGGCCAATCGCTTCCCGTCGCTATTTCTTCAAGACGCGAGCATGTGTGGGTCCAGATTCTCTTTGGTTCCTCCTCCTCCTCCTTTTCCTCCTCGTCCTCCTCCTCCTTGTAATCCCCCTCCCCCTCCCCCTCCTCCTCCTCCTCCTCCTCCACCCATTCCTCCTCTTCCTCCTCCTCCAGCCATTCCTCCTCCTTATAATCCTCCTCCTCTTCCTTCTCCTGCTCCTCCTCCTCCAGCCATTCCTCGTCCGATCCCCGACGCGTGTGATCGCGCGGGGGGGGAGCGGGCGGGGGCCTCGGAGTCCGAGTCCTCGACCGCCCAGCCGCTGCCGTCGCCTCCGTCGAGGAGGAAGGGGTGGGGGAGCGCGAGGAGGGCAAGGGCAAGAGCGAAGGGTTGGGCGGGAGGAGGAGCAAAAAGAGGACAATGGAGAGGACGGCGAAGGGGGAACGCTGTGAGGAGGGGAGGGGATGACGAGGAGGGGGGAACGAGGCGGAGGGAGAGGACGGATGACGAGGAAGAGGAGGAGGAGGAGGAGGAGGAGGAGGAAGAGGAGGATTAGAAGGAGAAGGAGAACGAGGAGGAGAAGGAGGAAGAGGAAACATCGGGCAACGGAGGTGAGGGGGAGCGAGCGAGGTCAAGGGGCGGATGGGGTGGAGGAGGAGGAGGAGGCAGAATAGAAGGAGGGCAGAGGCTGAGGGCGGAGCAGGGGGGGCGAGAAGGACGATGTGGACGGGAAGGATGATTACCCGCCACAGCTTATTCTGCACAGTTATAGGCGTGCTATAATGACATGTGCTGGCTGGCAGGGATTATGTAATTTCACCAGCCCTCTGGGCGTAGATGGTTTACCAGATGTTGTCCTCTCTCACTCTTATTCTCTCCCGCTCTCTCTTTCTCTCTCTCTATATATATCTCTATTTCGCTGTCTTTCTGCCAACCCCCCCCCCTCCCCTGCTCGGAGGAGGGGTTTACCCCTCCCCCTCCCCCGCCCCTGGGCCTGGCAGGTGAGGTTTGCTGGTAGCTAGTGCGCCCAAGATGGTCCAAGATGGCTCCAAGAGGGCCTCCTCGCTTTTTTCGATCACAGTGGGCTCTGTGTGTTGCCTTATCGCTTGTTCGATCCCAATTGGATCTTGATGCCTCCTGACGGCCCAAAAGAGCCCGAAGAGGCGCCCAAGAAGGCCCCAAGAGCGCCCAAGAGCGCCCCAAGAGGGCCTCAAGACATAATGCTTGTGCCTCCGAAGAGGGAGGGGGGCCTGAATCTAGTATCCCAAGTGGCCACATGATGCCCCCCGGGACACCCCCAAAGAGCCCCAAGAGGAAAGAGCCCCAAGAAGGCATCCAAGTGGCTCCGCGAGGACCCAAAAAGAGATCCAAGACGGCTCCAAGATACCTCCAAGAAAACACTTCCAAGGCGGGTGTGGCCCTGCGTGCTTCTACACTTCCCTGATCAAGGTAACTCGCCTGGCGATATGTTTCTGGATGGGCTGGCGGGGATACGCGAAGCGCCAAGAAGTGTCCAGGCCACCCGCTTTCGAAGTTCCCTCCTGCGCGCATCGCCCCCAATTCTCGAGGACATACCCCTTAGCAGAATACAACACATTCGGGCCCCTGGTGCCCAGATGCCTCCAAGACGGCCCGGTATCGCTGCAAGACGGGCCACGTTGGCCGCAAGACGACCCAAGATGGCGTCAAGACGGCCAACGAAGCCAGCGAGGTGCCCTAATAGAGCTCCGAAAGCCTTCCTCAGAGAGCCTCGATGGGGCACGCCGTACTGTCTGCCCGCTTGTTACTTATAAGTTCTTCGGGTGCTCACCTTTTCCGAGCTTCCGACGTCCCACGGCGACCCCAGACTGCTCCAAAACTGTCCGAGAAGCTCCGAAGAGGGCCCTTAGTGCTGAAAGACGGCCAAGAGGCGCCCCCGAATGTTCAAGAGACCCCCAAGATGGCTCCAAGACGGGGTCCTGGACGGCCAAAGAGGCGCCCAGGGGCCAGGGGTCAGGGTCGCAGCATGCGCTGGAGCGCGCCCTGCCAGGGCTGCTGCGCGCGTGGCAGCGCGAACCTCTCTGGTGCGGCCACTCGTTCTTTGAATATTCTAACGCGCGCCGTTCTCGATGATTCTCACGCATCCCACTGTTGTTGAACTCTCCCGCCCGTGGCGCAGACATGCGCTGAACTTGTGTCAGACATGTAAAGGATTGGCAGACGTATACAGCAAGTGACATACATATGCAGAAATGGACCATCAAATTGTTAGTGGGTCCATCTCGTCGCGGGGCGCCCTGTGGCCATTCCTCTAACGGTGTCCAACTTCAGCGCAAAGCTGCCCCAACGCCCGTCCGCGCACTCCTTGAGATTTCCGAAGGTTCTGTCCTGGCGCAACCCTTGCGCCTGTAGCAACGCTGGAAATCCTAGTATATCATAATCTTGCTCGGCGCGATGAGTTGATCGCTAGGCCCAGTCGACGTAAGGCTCGTCTGGCGCCCTGGCCACGAATGAGACCTTCGTGAGCATCGTTCGCATGCCCACATTGAGTTTCCGTGTTTTCGCCGCGGTGAGCGTCCATGCACCGCTGCCGTAGAGCACAGTAGAAGACACCACAGCGTCGAAACATCTGACTCTGGATCTCAACAATCGGTGCTTGCTGCATAGCTCGGCCTTGAATCGGCCAAGCGCCGCCCGTCCTTTGGAAATGCGGTTCCAGATCTCCGCATCGTGGCAATCGCGAAATACCAGCCGTCTGCCAAAGTACGCCACGCTGTTGTCAAATGATAATACCTCGACCTGTCCCGCGCCCACCTGCACGTGACGTTATCGTAGTTCGCCACTTTCAGTTCCGAGTTGCCCTTCCTCTGCATCCCGCCAAGTCTCGCTGACGAAAACAACACCCCAATTGTCAACAACTGACAGCTCAACAAACAATTCCTGAAGCTAGTTCTATGTTTCTCTTGACTGGACGTCTTTCCTGAGAAGCCGCACCATGCTACATGATGACGTGATGCGTGTGCCTTGCTGTTTCTGTTTCTGTTTCTCTGGTTGGCTCCGGTCTTTTCCTCTGCACTGTGCAGTCAACCCGTAGAATAAGGACGCACGATAAGGATGCAAGGGCCTTGGAAGGCCATGCCGGCACTTTGCGAGCGGGGCGCGGCCCGCGAAAGTGGCCAAGGATGGGCCGAAGGGGAAGGATGGCAAGGGTACCCTTGGAGAGTTGCTCATCCTTACTATGCGGGTTGACAGTAAATCTTTTTGTCGCAACGGTCGCAGCCCTGGGGGGCCCCAGCACGGCCCCAGGAGTGGGAGCACGACCGCAGAACTCCGGCCTTCTGCCCAGCAGGCCCCCAACAGGCCCCCCTGGCTGTCTCGAGCGGCTGCCACCCAGGATGCTGCGCTGGCACGGCGGCGGAGCTGCCAGCGAGGCAGCTGGACCACAACGAGGGGGAGGGGCAGCAGAGGGAGGAGGACGAGCAGGAGGGAGGAAGAGGAGAAGGGGATGAGGAGGACGAGAGGCGGGACAAAAACATATCAGGATATGAGGGGACAGAAGCACGGGAGGAGGGGCGAGGAAACAGGGCGGGGGAGGGAGAAGGGGAGTATGGGGAGGGCGACGTCGACGTGGCATCGGCCACAAAACCACTCCCCACCAACTCGGCCCTTATCTCTGAGGAGCGAGGCGGACGGGGAGGAGAAGGACGAGGACCCAGACCCCCGACGTCGTGACTTTTTGACAGCGTCGACCCCGAGAGGTCTGGACCCCTCCCACGGGACCGGTTTCTCATCCCGAGTCGTTTTTGGACGGTGCGGGGGCCCGGTGACCGACTACCCCAGATAATAATCACTCAGAGATAATAAAGTCCGGGGGCCTGGCGGGGATACTCAACGATTTTCCCGGGGAAGGTGATGTTAGTTAGAAGTTATGATGCTGATGATAACGATGACGATGACGATGATGATGATGGTTGTGGTGGTGATGATGATGATGATGATGATGATGATGATGATGATGATGATGATCCTGGGCGTTCGTGTAGACTGACCTTGTAGATCTTGGCACAAGACTGAAACGAGAGATCTCGAGGCTCGTAGGTACAAGTTGCCTGCGCAAGAGAGGTCCTTGGCCGTTCTGGCCAAGAAACCTCTATTGCGCACGTCTTGATGCTCAGTGTGATGCTGTTTTTGATGCTGTTGCTAGTCAACATGAGATGATCGCAACTTCGATTCGCAACTTCCCCCGTGGATTATCAAGTTCGGCCTCCGCGCCCCTCTCCACGATTAAATCAGATTGAACCGAGATAAAAAATAGAGGGGGTGAAGGGGGGTGGGTAGGCTTTATTATCCGGGGCACTCGGTTAAGGGCCCCCGGAGGCCGAAAACTGAGATACATCTTCCGTCGCGATTTCTTCGCTACGCGAGGGGGTCTGGGGACGAGGAGGGAGAGCAGGATGAGGAGGAGGAGGAGGAGCAGGAGGAGGAGGAGCAGAAGGAGGAGGAGGAGGAGGGAGGAGGAGGAGGAGGAGGAGGAGGGAGGAGGAGGAGGAGGAGGAGAGGAGGAGAGGGAGGAGGAGGAGGAGAGGAGGAGGAGCGAGGAGGAGGAGGAGGAGGAGGAGGAGGAGGAGGAGGAGGAGGAGGAGGAGGAGGAGGAGGAGGAGGAGGAGGAGCGAGGAGGCGGCGGCGGCCTCGGCCCCACGACCAGCCGCCGTGCGCGGCCCAGCCCCCCGGCTCGCGTGGCCGCTGCCAGCCCCACTGGCCGCGGGCCCAGTGGGGCTGCCAGTGGTGGTCCCTGGTGCGGAGGGTTGGCGGCGCGCAGAGGGGGGGTTAGGGTTAGGTCGGGCCTGTCGCCCTACAGGGGGATTTTCTATGACAGATATAACGAATACTCCAAAAATGCTCCAAAATGGGCAAAACAAATACTCAAATGATTCACTGCGTGGAGCTCCCCATATGTGCATCTATTCGCATGGGCCTGTCCGCTGAGAGCGTCTAGGCGCAAGAACTTTCGAGTATAAACGGGCTTCAGTTGTGACGGTCTGGTCATGAATCTAACTGAGAATGAATTGGAGTGTGAATGAGCCTCAGTAGTACGAGCGCGTCTCTGCGCACGAGCCTGGGTCCTCCTGGGGTCTCCTGGGGCCTCCTGAAACCTACTGGGGCTTCCTGGGGCCTCCAGGAGCCTGTTGGGGCCTCCTGGGGCCTCCTGGGACCTCCTAGGGAGGATTCGTGCCCCACGAGAGGCCCAATCTATAGCAACAGACGTACATAAAACATTGCGGATTGGAACCACAGGAAAAGGTTGCAACCTATAGGAACACACACGTAAAACACCAAGGACTCGTGCCCCAGGAGAGGCCCTATAGGAACATAATTACACAGAAGAAGGACAATCTATAGAAACATACGCATAACATCAAGGATTCGTGCTCCAGGTGAGGCCCAATCTAGGAGCATACGTAAAACACATGGGATTGGAGCCACTCTTGTTGCCTTCTGAGGCCTCCTGCTCCTGGGGCCTCTCGGGGCCCCCTGCTGCCTTCCGAGACCTCCTGGCGTTTCCTATGGCATCCTGCTGCCTCCTGTGGCTTCCTGAGGCCTCCCGGAGCTTCCTGGGGCCTCCTAGAGCCTCTTGGGACATCCTGTGGCCTCTTGAGTCTTTCTGTGGCCTCCTGATGCCTCATGGGACCTCATGTGGTCTCCTGGGGCCTCCTGGAGCCTGTTGGAGCTTCCTGTGGCATCCTGAAGAGAATCTGTGCCCACGGGTCTGGCCACTGATCGAGACATCCTCAAAATCTGGCCCACCTGGGGGGGGAAATGAGCGCCTCGCTCGAGAAGTCCTCCAAATCTGCTCTGGTAGCCAAAGATGCTGGGACAGAAAACAGGCAAACCGCTTGAGACATCCCCACAAAACGGCCGCGAACGGGACCGTGAGATAACCCCTGGCGGCTCCCCTTAGGGACGTGAAAATGAGCGCCTCGCTCGAGACATCCTCCAAATCTGCTCCGAAAGCGAAGGATGTCCCCACAAAACGGCCGCGAACGGGACCGTGAGATAATCCCTGGCGGCTCCCCTTGGGGGGGGTGAAAATGAGCGCCTCGCTCGAGACATCCTCCAAATCTGCTCTGAAAGCGAAAGATGCTAGGACAGAAAACAAGCAAACCGCTTGAGACATCCCCACAAAACGGCCGCGAACGGGACCGTGAGATAACCCCTCGGTGGCTCCCCTTAGGGACGTGAAAATGAGCGCCTCGCTCGAGACATCCTCCGACTCTGCTCCGAAATCGAAGGATGTTGGGACAGAAGACAATCAAACCGCTTGAGACATCCCACAAGACGGCCGCGAACGGGACCGTGGAGATAACCCTTGGCGGCTCCCCTTAGGGGGAGCTGAAACCAGCGCCCCGCCTGAGACATCCTCACAATCTGCTCTTGTAACCAGAGATGTTGGGACAGAAAACAATCAAACCGCTCGAGGCATCCCCACAAAACGGCCGCGAACGGGGCGTGCGTGAGTCTCACCATGAATAAGTCTGAGTATGAGTAGGTCTGAGTATGAGTAGGTCTGAGTATGAGAAATTTTGTGTGTGAGTAAGTCTGTGTCTGAGTAAGTCTGAGTGTGAGTCAGTCTGTGTATGAGTAAGTCTGGGTATGAGGAGGAGGGGGGAGGAGAAATGGAAGAAGGAGTAGGAGGCGTCCAAGAAATAACAAGAACCCCATCTTAGGATATGGGGTAAGTAGTCCCCAGACTATGTTTGGACTATTTTTGAACATTCCCCCTGTAGAGGGACAAGCCCGACTTCAGGTTAGGGGGGGAGGCTCCTTGAAAGCAGGCACCTTCCTAGAAGGCGCCGGCCTCCTACAGCCGAAGCACGGAGACAAGAACGCGGGTCAAGAACGCAAGCCCCTTCGCCTAAGGCCCAAGGCCCCATCGAGATGCCCCGCAAGAGCACTGCAAGATGGCGGAGAGCACGAGCACGAAGAAAAGAAGGGTACCCCTCCAAGGCCAGCGTTGTTCTTGACCCTCGTGCCAGCCGTATCTACAGAAGAGGCCCGCGCCTTCTGAGAAGCAGGGGTGCTTGTAAGCAGCCGAAAGGCCCGGGCCTTCTAAGAAGCAGGGCTGCTTCCAAGAAGCCTTCCCCCCTCCCCCATACCTCCCTCTGCGCGTGGCCGAGAGGGAGGCGGGGGGAGAGCGAGCTGGGAGGGGCTGCAGTAACTACCCAGACCCCCTCGCACCGTCAAAACACCACGACGGCAGGCTTTTCGCGACGTTCGGCCTCGGGGGGCCCCTCACAGGGCCCCCTGGAGCATCACAAAACGACGCAGGATGGAAAACTGATCTCAGGGGAAGGGGTCCAGACCTCTGGGGGTCGACGTCTTGAAAGAGTCACGAGACGTCGGGGGTCTGGGTGCGGAGGGTGGGGTGAGAGCGAGCGGGGTGGGGCTGCAGTGCGCGGGCCGTGATGGGGGACAAGAACTGGTCCCGGGGATTGGGTCGAGGTTTCTGGGGGTCAGTGACTCCTGGGAAGGGCCCTCTGAGAAGCAAGGGCGCTCTCGAGGGCGCGAAATGCTTCGCGCCTCACGGTTCGGCTCCGATTCCTCTTCATCCTCCTTTTCTCCCTTGGGGGGCGGCGCGAGAGCGCGAAGCTATTCGCGGAGCGCGCAGCGCGAAGGCGGGGGGGGGAGGGATGCGAAGGAAGGGAAGCCAATCCCCCCTCGCAGCCGGAGGAGAGACGAGTGGTGGGGGAAGAGAGGGGGAAGAGGACGAGAGGAGCGGGAGGGGCAGAGGGGTGGAGGGGGAAGGAAAGGCTAGGTGCGCTCGCGACTCATCTGCCATCCGATCCCTCTCTCCCGGCCCTTCCTGTCGCGATGAGGTGTCTCCATCCGCGGACGCGTGGCCGACCTGCAAGTCCAAACCAAGAGACCACATCGTGTGATGCGCGATCGGGAAAAAGGGGAACTGCGGGCACAGGAGGAGGACGAGGAGGTGGCGGGTAAGCAGGAGGATCCGCGGCAGGAAGAGGGCGAGGAGGACGAACAGCAGCAGCAGGAGCTGGAAATGAAGGAGCGGGAGGAACAGGAAGGCCTGGGGAAGGCGGAGGACGAGAAAAGAGGGGTGTGACAACAATGAAGAACGACTCTCGATTCCAGAAAAGGGGCCCGCGCAGGGGCGAGAACGCAATTGTGAACGACGGGAGCGCAGCGCCGATCCGAAAAATGGGCCAACGTTGCACCAGGAACGCCACCTTGAAACACCGAGAACAATTGGACTGTCAAACACCATACGGTAAATCACGGTTTGAAGTCCTGTGTAAAAAAGCAGCACGCGGAGAGAGAAACCACTGTCTTCCAGACAACTTCAGGGGACACAAGAGAATAGTATTCGTATTGGTTAAGTGTACATGGGGTACGATGGAGACCCATGATCCTCCTCCTCACACTCCCGCGCAGTGGTAATGGGAGGAAGAAGGAAGGCGTGGGACAAGAGGACAGGGAGAGAGGAGTCAAAGAAGCAGAGGGAAGCGGGAAGAGGACACAGGATGGGTCATTGAAATGAGGGAAAAGGGACTGGGGAGGAGAGATTTGGAGGGAGGGGGTGACAGAGGATGGGGTGAGGGAGGAGGACAGGGAAAGGACGGACATGAGACATGATGGACAAAGGAAAAACACGAGGGAACACGCATAATCAACGTAGGGCAACTTCCAACCGGTTGTCACGCCCTCCTGTTCCCCCATAGTAGATCACCTCTCCAACGCTCTCTCACGTTGCCCGCTGCGCTCCGACTACCTACCGTCCCCAAAAGCATTAGCAGTATGCGCACACAATCGCGTTCTCTCTCTCTCTCTCTCTTTCGCTCTCGCTCTATATCTATCGCTTTCTCCCTCTTCTTCTGGATGCGCATATATCACACAGCTGTAACCTGAATCAGCACTTGCTCTTTGGATTCTCGCCTGTTTGTCAACAAACTGGGCCTGTCTGGCGGTTCGGCGGCTCCGTGGTCGCTGTCGGCGCCACGTGGCCACCCTGTCGCCGCCTCGTCACCACCCGTCGTGTAGGCCTGTCTTGCGATTTGGCGGTTCCGTGGTCGCCGTCGCCGCGCCGTCGCCACCTCCTCGCCGCCAATCGGCTGGGCAAGCATTGTCTTGCATTGCTTCGCATTGCTTTGCATTGCTTTGTGTCGCATTGCTTCGCATTGCTTTGCGTTGCGTCGCGTTGCTTTGCATCACATTGCTCCGCATTGCCGCGCATTGCTTTACATCGCTTTGCGTCGCATGCATTGGACTGCGCTGCGCCGCGCTACTGCGCTGCAGTCGGATTGTGTTGCCTCGCATAGCTTTGCATCGCTATGCTGTGCTTGGAACTGTTTGGGACTGCCTTGAATGTTTCGTGTTGATTTGCGTTGTCTTCCATTGGTTTGCATCGCTATGCGTTGCTATGCGTTCCTTTGCATTGCTTGCTGCGCGTTGGTTTGCAGCGCTCTGCGTTGATTGGTGTTGCGTTTTCTGGCTCTGCATTGCTTTGCGCTACAATGTTTTGCTTTGCTCTGCAACGCAATGCGCTGCGCAAAATATATTCTTCTTTCAAACAGATATTCAGATCTACGCTCCGCCCTCCCCGGGGCATAACGCGCCACATGTTCGTGTTGCCCCGTCGTATATGAACCTGCACACCCGTCCATTCGAAGAAATTCATACCCCCCCCCCAGGCAGACGCTTATCGACCCGCCTCGTCCTGAGCAAAAAATGCGATGCGCGCGCAATCGATCATCACAAATAACTTGTGTGGACGAA